GCTAGTTGTGAGTTGCAGGGTGATATGGCTGCTGGCCTACATTACATTACCACAGTAGTTTCAATTTTATAAAATATATTTCACATTTATTCTTTAATGTATTGTCTGTTGCATGATTTCTGATCATTTCTTGGTAGTAGTTTCAGGTTTTCATTTGCAGTGCTTCCTGAATTTATATTACATATTTGATCCCATTTCTAAGGCAAATGTAGATTAGATGAGCGACACAAAATAATTTTTGCACTTGAAAGTGGAATGTTTTACTTTAATGTTTTACTTTATGAAGTAAGTCATTATGTCATTTGATAATATTAGTATGAAACCTTGTGTAGACGTATCACTTAATACCTTAGACGTATCACTTGTGTAGACGTATCACTTAATACCGTCTTTTGTTGGTGTCAGCATTATAATTTGATAACTGGCAGTTGACAATAAGCTAAACTGTGGGTTAAAGGTGTAAAATTAAGAAATTAAACATTTCCAATTTCTAACTTAAATAGACTTGTACTGTTGAGTTTAAAGTGCAGAATTCTGACACCATACGTCATGTTTGAAAATTATTAGTCCTGAATGCAATATGTATTTTTAACTTGAGATATTGCATTTAATCTTAGCAGCCAGCAGATGGCAGCCCGCATCTAGGAACATTTTCGGCAGACCCAAGAATCAATTGAATAAACACGTAAGGCTTTAATTTTGTAGAGATGATATGCTGCCTGGCTACTCACCCAGGGTGTGATTCTGCTCTGTGCCCTGTGGTTCCACAATAAGCTCTAACTGTTTCAATCATTACTACAAATAAGGTGCATAAATGCTTAATTAGTCAACCTCATAGGACTCTCCTTTATCCAGTCGTGATAGTGACAGGGCATAGTATTGTTGTAATTATATTTAATTATTTTATTACATTATGGTTAAAGGTGGTTCTTACTTGGTTTACTCTGGATGCTTGTTAAAATATATTACCTTTAGATAATATATTTTATCTCAGATAATATATTTTATAGATCTCAGTTCTACCCAAACATTGGAGTACTCATTATTCTCTAGAATGTTTTGACTATAACCTTTAGGACCACGGTCTCTGCATTTGATGGGAATTCAATGAAATGTCTGTACTTTGTTCTTTTGTAAACGACTGGGAATATAACCTCCTCCTTTAGAGTTAAATCTAAAGTTAAATCTAAAGTAGTTACACCTGTCACTTTTGGGATCTATAAATGGTAAAATGTAATGTAGACAGGCAGGAAGCTTTAATCATGTCACGCTTTCCAAGTGTTTAAAGAAATCTCATTTGTCATTCCAACACTCAGTAAGCCCAGTCATGATGACAACAACAACAAAGGTTCCAAGATACTGATAATTCATTGGCTTGTATATGGGGGGAAAGGCTTGACTTCAAAAGTCTTAGCAATGACCATTTAAGTCTTATAAGAAACACTGTACTGTTATGTTCATATTGTTAGTCTGTAACAACTTAAACATCTCATTAAGACATCCTTCTCTTGTAAGAAAAATGCTGTTTACTGTTCACCATCCAAATGTTGTTATTCATCATAAATATGTTTCAGTATCTCAATGCATACATTCTTTGTCACTGATAATCTGAGAAGGATGACAAAAAATCAGAGAGCAAATCATGAGAAGCAAATACTGTGAGAATTGTTATACTTTCAGAAAGTGTAAAATAAAAATCATCTTCATTGGCGTATGAAAATTTCCAAAGCAGACAGCTCTTTCAACCCCCTGTCAGGATAAGGCTAATTGCAAGGATAACCACAGCAGTGTTTAAGGATGTTGGGACACAGTGTTAACACTGAGAATATGTTACCAATGTAAAAATATATGAAAGCTTGGAAACAAGAAGGTGTCTTTTGGTTAAGCTTGCCGTAGTATTATAACAACATGGTTTGGTGATCCAAATGCATGATGACTGTTTCTGTAAATCAATGTCTTCTATTTTCATTGTAAAGGACATCAAATTTAATTCCACTTGTGTTCTCCATCTCTGCCTTTCTTTTTATTCTTAAAGAACACTGTTAAAGTAGACCTTTGGAATGCTTTTCAGGATTTGTGTCCTGTGTTCAGGTTCCACTATAAAGATGCATCTCACTTAACCTCTCAATGTATTTCATCCCTTTGACACAAGGAATCATTCTGCTCAATTTTCTTTTGACTCCAAGATAATATATTTTTTATATATACATCAGTGTCTTTTTTTAAGAAAGGTGATAACTAATGAGTCTAAAATGAAAAAGGAGTGTCTTTATCATGCAAAATATGTACTCGGCATACTGTATGTATTCAGCAGTGTTTTTTTCTGGAGTACTCTTCCAGTCACTTGAAAAACAATAATTAGCATTATTCTTGTTCTTGTTTTTGTCATCTACCAAACAACCCATTGAACAAATGCACTGGGTGGCTCCTTTCACTGGTCAAATTAAATAAAAAACTTAAACCAGTTGTTAAATAATGTTTTGGTTTGGCAATCGATGTGCTGATGTGTGAGACTGGTATTATCAGAACAGAAAAATTGACTTATCGTATACGTTTTACAACCTTTTTACTCATATATACAGTACCCTCCATTAGTAATGGGAAAGTGAAATCAAATTTGCTATTTTTGATGTACTGTATATAAGTCAATTTAGTGGTGGGGCACTGGAGTCAATTCCTGACCCTGGGTACTATCTGTGTGGAGTTTGTGTGTTCTCCCTGTGTTTGTGTGGGTTTTCTCCCACAGTCCAAAGATATACTGGTAGGTTAATTTGCTTCTGTGAAAGTTGGCCCTGGTGTGAGTGTGTGCATATGTGGTCTCTATGTGCCCTGCAATGGACTGGCATCCCATCCAAGGTGTACTCTGCCTTGTGCCCAATGTGTGCTGATAAACTTAAATGCAAAAAAAACATATGACAACATACTTAACAGCGAGCCACCTCTGCTCAGTTGTAAGTTCCTCTGTCTTTTGACACAGACTTTTAATAAAATAAAGGGGATTTTGTTCATCAGCCTATACAATGAATATTGCAGACAATTTTATTTTTTGTGTGTTTTCTAAGAAAACAAATCTTTAAAAAATTCTTTGCAGCTAGCTGGAAGACATTCACTATGCAAATACAATAAATGAAAATAAAGTACAATAGCTGTATCATTACAGTGTCACAAATCTCTAATATCCCCTTTGTATGAGTGTGGAAGAGAAAGGGTGTGCGTGCAGCCATGGACTGGGGTCAGGTCTAAGATGTATTTTCTCTCTGTGCCTGTTAGGCTTCGGCTCACAGCAACTTTCTAGGGTAAAAGTAGTTACTTAAAATGGATGGATCAAAACATACATCATTTTATTAGGCAATGTAAGTGAAAACAACAAAAAAATACTTCTTAATATTATGACATACCCTGTCATCATGAACCTGAAAAGCAAGTGAAGTGATCTTCTGTGTTATTATCATCAATGGCCTAGATCAAAACACGAGAACCTGTGATCGGGAGGGACTGAACTGGAGCTTTGTACTTCTGCCCAGTGAAATGAAGAGACTTATGCAATAGATGAGGATGAAAGGAATGCTGACAAACAGGGTCACCTCAATCAATGAAGTAATAGCAGAGTGAAACCAGTTAAATGCGGAAACCAATGTTCTCCACGCCTATTGAGAAACAAATGTGCAAAATGAACACCGCAGAAATCTGTGGTAATCCGTTCAGGAAATGGGCTGTTGTGAGGAGGTAAATTCTACTGGAGTAACGGTGGAGATTTGGTTTTCTTTGGTTTCCGAAGCTGGGCAGGGTGGAGCTTAGTCGATGCTTGCAATGGTGACTTGGCAAAACCAGGGCAGGATGTGATGTCGGAAGCTTATTTGAGGAAAAATTTATCTAGTGTAACTTTTTTAAGAGGACTGAAAGCATAGTTGGTCCTTGTCGTTCCAATATATTTTTTTTTTCTGTTTTGGTCCTGGTGTTTTAGAGACATGACCCAAAGCCTGCCTGTGGAAAATTGGTCTGAATGGAAAAAGCAGACGCTCACACACAAATATTTCATGGAATGGAAAGTAAAAAAAAACTGCATAAACTTTTCATTGCGTTTGTTCTGTTTCATCACTATTTGTCAGACATTCAAGATATCACATCCACATGTTCGTAAAGGAAATTACACCAAAGTTGTTTTTGTTTTTTAAAGATCACATTAATTATAATCCATATAATTGTTTTGCTTTCTGCCTGCGCATATGGGTGTGATTCTCAAAAGGAACGTAGTGACTTACTCAGGCAATACCAATGTGCCTCACCCAGCACCACGCCACTTCACTGACAAAGTAGCCAAGCAACCCCACCATACAAATCCTTTACAATTCATGCGCTGTCTTTGCCCCGCCCGGCCTCTAATTAGTCACCTATCCTAGCTGTAACTACGGAGCTGCCGCTTCGGATTGACGGGGCGCTTGCCTGTTGCCATGGCCGCTGTTGTCTGTGTTAAGGTGGCTGCAACAGTCGTGTGGGATGTGTCAGTGGGAGCCGCTCTAACCCCAGTGCGCTCCCTTTGAGGAAGTCTGAGGAAACTTACGCAGCATTGCTTCACTCAGATCACTCTTGGTTTTCACAAGTCCCTTTACTTGTGCTGCTAAGAAGCAAGGAGTCCTGAAATGTAGGATGGAGGATCCACAAAGTTTCCCCTATAGAACGACGGGTTCTTTATTTTTATATCCTGTCAGCGAATTTTTTGGAGTCCCTTTGGACCAGGTAGGAAAATCGTGTCAGGGACCACTGTAGCTGTAACTACCCGATGTGGACAACGAGATAAATCGCTGAGGTTCAGAGGTTTACGAACAAGAGCAACCTCAATGTCTTTATGAGCTGAAGACCCGATTTACAGAATTTGCACAGCCGTGAACGATGTTTTTTTTTTATATTTATCGCTGTCGGATAACTCATTGCAAAATACGTTTCGGGACATCGAGTATTTTCTTTACCGTTATTTAATCCCTGATCTGTTGTACTCTTTTAAAATTGCTCTCCTCTCCTCGAGGCATTTTATTATTTTTGCACCGAATTGGAAACTTAAAAAAAAGTTTGGTTCATCCTCTTGAATATTGCCAATCCCCCCCTCCATTGAGTACAGGAGAGACGACTGTTTGCATAACCCCATATTACATTTTTAATCAACAGAATAATTGCTGAATGTTTCTGAATGATTTTAATATGATTTAGGCTTTCGGTTTCCCAATAAATTACATCGTTATGAATGGTATTTAAAAAAAGTGGGCTTGCGAAATACAAATACGCCTATTTATCGAGGCATGAGGTTTCAGTATCTCATGGTGTTTTAGAAAAAAGTTCAGGTTCATTTTTTTCACATGGGAGATTTTAACGAGCACGATATTTTTCTAATGCATGTGGTACCACAGTAAAAAATATTTGAACTGATTTTAAGAAAATGTACTACTGTCAGTATAACGTATGAACGCACACTTTTTTTCTTGTATTTTTTTTTATTTGTCCTGCGCTAATGCTTGTAAAATGGATACTGCGACTATTTGTCATTGCAGATGTGTAATTTCGCAACAGTAAAAAAGATGAATGAATTGGAATTTATAGGCTACCACTTTACAAATTAATCATTCAAATTATGATTTATACCCGCTTATGAAGTCATTGTAATAACCTAGTTGTGCATGTTTTGTCCAAGTGTGTCATTTTTGTCTCATTTATTTTAGCTTTATGCTACGCTGAGAATCGGTTGTAGTTTCAAGCATTAATAAACTGGCAATGCCCAATTTCTCTTTCTGCTAACTGAATCTGTAATTTCATTATTTAATTTAGTATTTTTTCTTTGAGCTAAATATTCAGATATTATCGTGGTCATCGTATGCGTACATTGAAGTACACCTGTTACTGTAAAGTAGTCTTTCTGAAGTCTGCAGGTGTTTGTTTACACATACTACATTAAAATACGTCACCAAACCGCGTGTATTTTCACCTAAACATACCTGTGTAAAGGTTAAATACAATAAAGTATTTATAAAGAAGCTGAAATAGTGTAGCAGATTAATCAATTACTGATCTGTGTAGATTTATATATAAACAATTACATGATAATCACGATGAAACGCGAATATTATTGGGGGGGGGGTATTTCGGTTCAACACTGATGTAAGATTTATAAGAATTACAATAAACATTAAACAAAATACAATAACGATTGTTGATTCAGATCCATCAATCCCTATTCCTGTCCCTTGCCAGAATAAAGATAAAAGCAAACTTCAGGATCTTAATTGACTATTGCAAATACGTCACCGTTAGCCACCTCAAGTGTTTTTATCAACTGTGGTCATAATTCATGAAAGAAGCCTACAGCATTCTGTTTTTATCTGGAGCAATGACAAAATGAGTAGGCAAAGGGTATTTTTAAACAAAAGCAGCTTTATTTAAAAGAAAATGCCTTGATGTTTGAATATATGAAAGGAATTTGATCTTGATTAATACAAAATAGTCAGAACTCAATTTAAGCTTGACACCTGTAGGCTTAGTCTTAGTCTTATGTCCTCCTGTGCTGCTGGGCACATCGGGCAGCAGTTTGACACCAGAGTGTTCAGTCGCATGCAACCATCTCAGCATCGTCCCATAAAATGTTAACACGCTGTAGATGTGCTTAACTTCTCTGCCTGTTTCTGCAGTAATTTACAGTTTTCCAGGGCTGGGGTGCTAGCCCTGCGCCCAACCCTCCTCCTTTCTCAGCATGGGCTTGGGACTGTCCTTGGCGGAGTTACCTGTAGGCTAGCAATTAATTTTTAATTGCAGTTGTTTAATGTTATAATGTAGGATAATTGTGCAATTGCCGGGTTTCTAATTATGGTTTTATTGGTGGTAAGTGTCTTAGCATTATGTTACACAGTAAAAAAGTGGGTTTGCGTATTATCTTTTGGTCTTCAGTGTTTCAGCTGCGAGTAGAGTCAAATGCTTTCAAATGCTGTACAAAATGTTGTACTGTTGTACAAAATAAATATTTTTAGTTGTTTGACTTAGTAATACCACCAGAATTATTTTGTGGTATGTTATGCATATATGATTTTCCTTTTAGCATTTGCCAGCATCTTGACCAGGTCTTGTGCAAGTGATCACATTACTCCCATCCTGGAGTCTTTGCACTGGCTTCCAACAGGTTTCATGTCAACGTCAAAGTCCTTCTGCTGACCTATAAGGCACTACTTGCACCTCAATACCTGCCTGACATATTACCTCCCCTGCTCCCCACCTTACAGCCTTTGCTCATCTTATTCTTCTGTCCTCTCTGTCCTCGAAGCTCATTTATATTCTATGGGTGACAGGGCCTTCTCATGCTATGCCCCGAAGCTCTGAAGAGAATCACTTTACATGAACACTTGTAAATCAAGACTCAAAACCTTCTTCTTTAGAAGGGTTGATTATGACCAAAGACCTTGCAATGCAATACAACATATCTATGCTAATGACAAACTTTATTGTTTTAAGCCATTTTAGAGAGACTGATTCTAGCTAATGCATCCTGTCTGATTCTACCGTATTATCCTTTGTTTATTATTTTGCTAGCATTCTCAGCTTAGAAACCAGAGATACAAGTTACAGATGCAAACTCTGTAGATTCAGTTTGTGCTAGTGCTGTCCAGGTAATGAAAATAAGACCATTACACACTTAATTAATCCTACATTTGATTTTAGAAAGGATCTATAAATACATCCATGCAGCAAATCTTTCAGGCAACAAGCTTTAAGGGATGAAAAGTCATTCATCCCCAAAAAAACAAATCAAAGGGCAATGCAGGAACATGGTCTGAAATGTTTAGCCTTTTCCCTTCTTTAGAACCTGTCTCTGTTTGTGTTAAATGTTCAGTATTTTTCAACTTTTAAAAATGTGCAGGTATTCAGATAAATTACACTTTGAGTCATACTGTATATCTCTACTTTTCATGTTTTTTCTGCCCTAAGAACATGTATCCTCTACATCTTGTCATACTGACAAGTTACAATGTATTCAATATGTGTAATCCATGAAAGCAGTCATTTGCAAAAATAAATGCATTACTCTGTTTCTGTTCTTCTGCTTCAGCATGCCCGTATAGTTGCACAAACATCTTTATTTCTGTCATACCATTCCATTTTTATTTGTCCCTGTTTAACTGAATTGTTGACGGCCTAGCACTTGCTTTTCAATATGGTTTTCTTTGTCTTCTACAGGTGAATTTCTTGGCATGCCAGCTGTTTGCACTTTTGGCAGCGTTTTGGTTCCGCTTGTACCTCCATCCAAAAAATGTCAGCACTACAGTCCGTCATGCTGTTGCCATTCTCCTTGGTATCTTTTTTGTTATATTCTGTTTTGGTTGGTAAGAAAGTTGTTTTTCACTTTTCTGAAAGCCAATAAGAAAATGTTCTGTTAAGTTCAGCAAAAACAGCACTGCCCCTCAGTACTGCCTTCACATATGTCTATGTAGGAACTGGGCGTGTTTAATATTATAACTGGGCATGTTATTAACTAAGCACTAGAATAATTTCATCTTCAGTCATCTCAAAAACGTTAGCTGAATTGTTTTGTAAATTTGATGTAGTTCTCTAATGGTGAGCTAGGATGCACTGGTGTTCCTTTTAATAAACATTGATTATTTAAACAAAGAGCACTTTTGGTAGGCCTACATATAGGACCTGATTACAACGATGGATCTAAGAGCAGGCCTTTGCTTCTTCAAATGTTAAGTTCCTTGGTGGATATAACATATGTTGTATTTATTGTAGTATATGCATTTTACTCTATAACAAACTTAATATTATAGATACAATATTAGGAATACATCATCAAAGATAATTAACATTATTATTTTATTATACAATCCATTATTTAAATGTACAAATTATATTTTACAAATTAATGAATAATTTACACAAAGTTGATGTATTTTTACTTTCAAATGAACCGTGTAATGGAACATTTACAATTTTTGTATTGCTTTAGAACAAACAAACCTGATTTGGGTTTCTTCAAAATTTAATTTCTGACACAATAATGTAAGTAAGATACATAAAATGGCTGTTTCTGACCTTAAATATTTCCTATTTTTCCTCTTATTTTCCAGGTATTCAGCACACATTTTTATACTGGTGTTCAGCTGCTACTATATCATGGTTAAAGCAAATAATCACAATGTTCACAGGTAACTAGTATGATTTTACATTGCTCATACATAATCTTTTGTAGCATTTTATTTTTTCAGTCCATACTGAACATTTCAGTCATCCTTGCAGTGACCATTACTCCCTACTGCTTCCAAAATAATGACATTATCTACATTTTTTATTTGATTTTATCAATTTCTTGTTTCTTGTCAATCAATTACATTTAGTGCATGTGCTTCTTCTGTTTGATTATTTTCTGTATTAATTAATTAAGTAGTGTATCAACGTAACATTGCTGTCAGGCTTGCCCGCAGTGCAAACAAGTCGATTGCATTAGCTTTTGCCATGATAGTTGGCCTCTTAGTGCCAGTTACCATGGAAAGTGTTCCAACAGGAAATCTTCATCACCTGTGAATAATGTCCATCCGTCTTATGTCAGGTGGTGGAGAATACTTAAGGACTGCTCTCACATTGCTCAGTGCTCTGTTACAGAGTTTCATCTCTGAGCTCCTTGTGTCCCTAGTTTTGACTTGCTTAGAATCCCAACCTGCTTAGTTTATCGTTCCTGGATCACGGCTTGGCTGGTTTTTACTCTGCATATTCCCAGCTTCAGACCCTGTGAGGTGGGTAATTTCCCTAGTCTGAAAGCTCCTTGCTGTTTCCCTGATGGTCTCGGCTGTACTTCCCAGCGCATAGTTTCATTCTATGAAAACAGACCGGTGCTTAAGGCCCCACTAGCAGTGGGATATTACAGTTGCAACATATCCTTTTACCATGAGTAAAACCTCAATATCACTGACAACAATTTCCAAATACTTACATTTTCAGTTCACAAATGCTTAATAAAGAATGTGATGAAAATATAACTTGTCACGAATAAGCATCTTTCCAAAATCCCTTACCAAATTATAGGTAGAAACAGCCCATCTGATATAGCAGCAGAGCATATTATTTTTTCGATATTTAACAAAAAGACTCATTCAAGTACTGCCTATTTAACTGTAATTGTAAACTGAGATGAAACAAACACTCAGAGGAAACATTACCCTTTCGTGGAATTTAATGTTTGAAAGTATGTGGAATGTCTTTTTACTTAGCGGTTCCTGACTATTTAGAAAAAGGACAGCATTGTTCGTTCAGTATGTGCAGCTGGACTGTTTCAGCAACACCAGTGTATTTACAGACTCTGCAATACACAGTTTCTAGTATAATTTTTTGGCTTGTATTTTACATTTTCTCTGATCTAGACCTGACAGCCAGTGTGTAGTGACTTATAGAGGTTCCGGTTCCCTTTTACATTTGTTTTGTACATGCGTCTGGTGATACCAGTGTACTTTGTATGTTTTTGAATGCTTTGCGTCCTGGCTCAAGGGTATAGCAGTGTTCTTATCTGAAACTTGAGCTCGCAACCTTCCAGTCAGGTGTCCAGAGACTAACCATGACTACGCACTGTTGTATAAAGGACTTGTTGCACTTCTTACTACATTTATTCTCCATTAACCCTTTTTTCTGTTTATTATTAAAAAAGCTAGCTTAGATTTTGTGGACTAAAATATGATGATACTCCTCACTTACTGTAATGTAAACACGTAAACCCTGGCTTCTTAGTGGTTGATCTGGTGATTGAACGTGTTTGCCAAAAAATGTTTGGGTTCTACTGTCACCCAGATTTGAAAGAAAATTATTAGACTTGTTGAATATATTTTTATTTGAGATAAAGTCAGTGTGTCGTTGGGGTTACGTACTTTTCTGTGCAATAGGAGGCAGTCAGTGTGAAATCATTCATTATATCCGAAGGCTGTTTCTTCATGAAACATGGTTCTGCATTAAAAAGTTTTCTTAAACCTGATTGACAAGGCGGGCACCAAGGACACAACTTTAGATTAGTTTTAGTTCATGCAAGCTTCAGATGAAAGCTTTTAAGGTGGTATAGCACTGATGTGCTTCACCTGACTTCCTGTCCTTCAGCTTTGAGCACAACTGGTTTTGAAGTAGTTATTGTTGTGAATGATCAGAGGAGATCAACCACAATCACTTAGACCACGAATACAAGAACATGCAATATGTTACAGCTGAAAAAGACAAAGAATGGAGATTTCTTTTTTCTGTCTGTTATGATCACCAGACTTTAGATTTTCACTCCTTCTTTAGTTTAGTTTACGAACTTAAAAACTGTTTTCTAATCTGGTATCTTGTAGAGAGTTCTAAAAACATCAGGCGTTTTCCATTTAGTTCATTTCTGTACTTTATATGATTCAGTAAACTCCCAATCCATGACTCCAGAATTTAAAATTAGTTTATCACCTCACCATGTTACAGACAGATAATCTAATAGAAAAAATGTGCCTGTCATTTATCTGAAATTTTTAATTGAAAAATTAAGTTTTTATCATATTAACTAATTTAAACACTACCACTAAGAGAGTAATGGTCAAGATCTTCTTTTCTGGGGCATTATCTGAAAATAAATATAAACATTGCAGTACATGTAGAAAGGGCTGAGCTATGGAAAATAAGGTATACAGTATAAATACAGAAAAAAAATTTGCTTTCCCTTAAAGAAGGATGTGACAAGGTTTGTTGGAACATTTTTCTTTTTAGGAAAAAGCTTTTTAACTGTAATATTAACATTTTTATAATGAATAGATATGATGTAAATGGTAGTCATAACATCCTTTCTAGTAGGAATTTACTAAAATAAGTACATTCTGTGTTTTTAGCTTTGGATTTCATCATTTGACTCATGAATCTTAGAAAGTAAGGCTTGATCGTGAAATGCATTGGCTAAAAATTGTTAACATGGAATTTTGTAATTTGAGCACATCCTATTCTGCTACCAAGCATTTCAATCTGCCCTTGTTTAATGACATCTGCTTGAAATAAAATTAATTATGAAACAATAATGGTCAGACAATTCTATTATTGTCACCACAAAAATGTAATACACTGCAAGGTTTTGTTGTTTTGTAATCCTTACTGTCTTTTTTATAGGTATTCATTGATTGTGGCAATGGGCTACCTCACGTTATGCCAGGTCAGCAGAGTTTATATTTTTAGCTATGGCATCCTGTCCACAGACTTTTCTGGGTGAGTTTTTCAAGATCAATACACAGGGCGAAAACATAAAAATGAACACTTCACACTGTATATTTTTTAATGCACTTGTTAATGTTTTAATGTATGAAATTGCCAGCTTTTTACTTAATTGCTATTTTTAACCCCCGACATACAGTATATATTACATTTTAAACATCATAAAGCATAGTTTTTTACTTTTGAAGTTGTTACATCTAATGTTCTTTTTTCTTTTTCTGCTTCCTGGTATACTGACCTTTGAGTCTTTTTTCTGCTTGTTTGGTTGACATTAATTCCTGAAATCAATGTTTGCATTTTGTCTAAAGTGTTCTTAGAGAGAGGTGGAGAAATACACCATTAAATAAATGCAAAACTGATAAAAATCCCATTGCTAGTGGCACTTTGCAATTAGTCCTCCTTGAACAAACTTTGTTGAATGCCTCAAACAAAAGAGGTTTTCTGTGGTGAACTGTAGAGTGAGTCCTGTTGAATGTACCATATTTTAGACCGATAAAATCAGTTAAATCATGTTATGATGTTCTCAGTTTGCTACGCATTGTTAGTGTAATCTTGAGTGTAGTTTGTTTTTGAACTGTCTTTAGTACTCTCTTCATCCTATTTTATAGTCATCGCATATTTTGTATATAACTAGATACTGCATGAAATAATCTACAATAGGTATAATCTATTGCACAGTAACATATGCTTCAGAGTGGGTGGAATTTTTTAATGTCCTTACAAATCATGGAGGTGTTACAGTGGTATCACGAAGCATAAATCGGTGCAAACATTACTGTGTAATGTTAAAACATGTGAAAGTATACATCCACATGTATACACAACTGTCACAGAGCAGGTGTTTTCCTGAAGTTGTAAATTGCTCCAAATCTGATTAGGCTTCAACCTCATGTAGACATTGAACCATCTGTACTTTACAGGTGATAGGGGTAGGGCATCTTTTTACTTAAAAAAATATTAGCAGTTGATGGAGGACAGACACCATCTCTGTGTTTTCCTATCCATTATTGATTATAGGTATAGCAGTCTCCCCAATTTCTGTTTGTTTTGCCAGCTCTATTTTTGTTAAAATCCAATATAGAACAAGCCCCATTGATTCTTTGTAAGATGGTTTTGACTTTCCTCATTTGAAACAGACTTTGCAGCTTTAGGGATAATATGTGTCAGTGCTATGGTGAAGTTGCCTTTTTGTTAAACATTTCTATTCAGTCTCTTTTTCCGATTCATAGCAAAATAAAAAATACCATTTGAAATCAAGAATAATAAGGGAGAAACAATGTACAGTAATTCAAGCTCAGTTTCTCTTGTCTAATTTGTGTTGTAATATCAATTGTAACTTGGATTAATTATACGGCATATTGATTTATTTTTTAACCTGTTGTGAAATGCTGTGCATGGCATTTTTTCTTTAGTGCTGGATATTTGCTCTGTCAAAACCTTTTGTATTCTCTGTTTTCACTGAGCAGTCCCAGCTAGTGCGAAATACAGCTCTATTCACATAGCAGCACAATGGAGTGTGCTCACAAAGTCATTGAATTGTAATAGGAACAGAACACTTTGTGTTCCATGCAAACTGTTACCCAGGCTGTAGCCTTTGTTGCTATTCAAAAAGAGGACAATCCCACCACCAGTTTAAATTGTGATACTGTTATGCTGGTTGTCTTCTAAGTGGCAAACCTTTTGCACTTGATTCTTTTTAAATTTCCCCACCTGGATGAACAGAACAGAAGTTGAAGGAAGCAGTTTAGCCTGGAAAGTGTCATTTTCCTTTTTCTGCTGATCACTCATACTAGTATTTATAATGTATTCAAAGGTTCTCGTGTTTTTATTTAGGCCACTGATGATAATAACACAGAAGATCACTACACTTGCTTTTCAGCTACATGATGGTAAGGTATATCATAACATTCAGAAATATTTTTGTTTCCACTAACATCACCTAATAAAATGAAGTATTTTTGAATTCATCCATTTTTAGTAACTACTTTTAGCCCAGAAAGTTGCTGTGAGCCAAAGCCTAACAGGCATAGAAAGAATGTTCATCTTAGACCTGACCCCAGTCCATGGCAGGACACACATCCATTCTCTTCCATCGTACAGAGGGGGAAATTAGAGATTTATGTTAATGGAATGATATAGCTAGTGTACTTTATTTTCCTCCCATTGCATAGTGAATGTCTTGCAGCTAGCCACAGATAACATTTTTAAGATATTTTCCTTAGAGAACACAAAAAATAAAAATGTCTACAATATTCATTGTATATGCATATTAATAAAATTCCCTTTATTTTATTAAAGGTCTGTGCCGAAAGGCAGAGCAACTCACAACAGAGCAGAGGCGACTTGCTGTTAAGTACGTTGTCATACAGTATGTTTCTTTGCAAGCAAGGCAGTTTCCAAAGCAAAGCTTTCTTGGCAAGCAAGCCAGGGGTACACTCTGGATGGGACACTGGTCCATCGCAGGACGCACACAGACACAGACATATACACACGCATACCAGGGCCAGATTTCCCATAAGTAAGTTAACCTACCAGTATGTCTTTAGACTGTGGGAGGAGCCAGAGCACCCGGAGGAAACCCCTGTGAATTGTATCTGGAATAGGAGTTTAAATGAAGTAAACAGGACAAAATCTTGGGTAGATTTAGATAAATGACAAAAGTATTTTGAAGAAAGTGCTAAACTTATTAAAGGAACTATGAATGCGAAAAATAATATCACAATTGGTCCTACGGTATGTGCTATTACATTGTCCAACATAAAAAAACTGTGTATATTAAAATCTGTGTAGTATAGTAAAATCTCCTTGTATTGTGCGTTATGCAAAAAACATAGTTAACAAGAATGATAAAAATAAGCTTGTTAACAAGATCAGAGGTTCTTCAGAGATAACACATCTTTAAAACTGTTTGCAATAGGGAGACAAGGAATGTAATAATACATGTATTTTTGGTTCTGCAGTTCAAAGCCCCACCTGTTGGAGTACCTCAGCTATCAGCTAAATTTCCTGAGCATCCTGGTTGGACCTTGCAGTAACTACAAAGATTACATTGAGTTCATTGAAGGAACACATGTGTATAAAAGGTTATCAATGGGAACCTCAATGGAAAACAACATCAATGAGAAGCAAAATGTCTATGGCACAGTTCCAGAGCCTTCACCTGTAGTATGTATAAAAATACAGTATATTAGCCTGTAATATATTTATCAATATGGTTGATCAGTATGGTGGTTGATAAGGGACAAGTTACAGCATTAATTTAATCTGTCTTTTTATATAAATACTTACACCCACATGTATTATTGGATAAACTAAGCACATATAAACAGTCATTTAAGATACAGCCTTCAGAGGTGCTTTGATTTCATTGTCCAGAAGATGCCATTCTGGCTGTCTGTCATTGTTATTAAAAATAACAAATTGAAAAGATTGAAAAACAAAAGTAAAGAGTCCTAACATGCAGTTAACGCACTTGAGATATTCTGTCAGATATAGGACAGTCTATAATTTGTTATACAGTTACATTTTTTAATGTCAGATTCTCTCTTACCACCTGCAGTTGTGCAGTGTCATATGGGAAAGCCAGTGTAGCATCATTGTTCACCAGAATTCAAGCTTAGTCAATAAAATGGATACTTTTTCTTCTTTGCCATGGGACACAGACCTTTTCAGGGCATACAGAAACAAACACACACATGCAGGGCTCCCCAAAAGCCAGGTAACCTAACAATATGTCTTTGGACTGTGGGATGAAACCCTTGCAAAGACATGTACAACATACAGTACAAATTTCACACAGGTAGTGCTCCAGGAACTGAATACTACAGAGAAAGAAATGTGTAAAATAGTGTAAAATATATTTTTACACTAAGAATCTAAAACAAATCTTAACAGGCAGGATCTGACTAATACTCTGTGATTTTTCATTCAGTGCTGCATCTCTCCATTAGACAATGTGTTTGTATTTCATTTTTTAGGGGGCTGTCATTAAGAAGCTGCTGCTGTCTATTGGTTGCTTAATTCTGTTCCTGAGTCTCACCAAAGCCTTACCAATATCTTATAATATTGATAGTCAGTTCATCAATGAGGCATCCTTTTTAGCAAGACTGACTTATGCTTTTTTTTCAATACAAGCAGCAAGACCAAAGTTTTACTTTGCGTGGACATTAGGTGAGTTGCTTTAATTTATTTTCAAATAGGAAGTGCATTAGTACTTATTCTGTTTGATTCTATTGTTACAGCTGTAATTACAAAAAAGGTGTTTGCTCTACAGCCAATAATCTTATGAATACTGAGAAAAAAATATTGGACGTTCCAAAAATCCAGTAAGGTGTAGAACAAGTGGGTAATATGTCAACTTTCTGTCCTTTCCAAAGACATACAGTGTGAAACTTTCTTTAAATAACATAGAGAAAAATCGACTCTAGGGACTGTTGCGGTCAAAGAGTTCACCAACAACTTGTTTTACCTCATCAGCTGATGCTATTAGCAATGCTGCTGGCTATGGGTTCAGTGGTGTTGATAAAGATGGCAACTTTTCATGGGATCTCATTTCCAACTTAAACATCTGGAAAATTGAGGTGAGTAGATGACAAGTACAGATTAGAAGTCTGGAAACACAGTAAAATAACAATACAAACCTTAAGATTACAGTATAAATTGTGAGATGCATTGAACCACAAGGTAGAAGTGGAAAGTATGCACATTTAAAACTGACTATAAGAGGTATGTTTTATGCAAAGGGTGGTGGGAGTATGGAAATAAGTACCCACCCACGTTTTAGAAGATGGCAACTTGACTTCTTTCAAGAAATGGCTGGAAAAGAGCCTCAGATCAGACGACAAATGTTCTAGATAAACAGAATGGCCTTCTCTAATTTTATTATTGTTCTTATTTGTAGGTTCCTACAGTATAGGCTTGCTACACATTAATATGATTTAAATATTATTTTTGGGCTACAAAAATATTAGATATTTCTAATATCTGGTAATAATGGATATTAGGTAACTAGAAGAATCTTTTCACTTATTCATTTCAAAATGCCTTTTGTTAACCATTAATGTCTTTCTGTCTAGACAGCAACAAGTTTCAAAATGTTCATTGATAACTGGAATATACAAACAGGTGCCTGGTTAAAGCGGTAAGTTCTGTTATGCTGTCCAGTATGTTTATACCCAGTTTATGGAACTATTATGTGGATAACCAGCAAGCCACAATATATTCCATGTGATCAAGATCATGCTGGAAACATGTTGGGCCACAGATGTTTTTAAATTGATGAGAGGAGCAGGTTTTCCTTTTCAGAACTGTAAATCTGTAAAAAAACTGTAAAGTTACAAATGTTTCTGTCTATTAACAACAGTATCTTGAGCTGAAAATCCAGTATTGCAGATGAGGACTTTTTTATTTTTCACAATTCTGCCTGCTTAAAGAGTCTCTTAATGAGATGCATATATGTCAGATGAAATCAACAGTCTTGTACTCTAGCCTCAGTGATCCTTACTGTATTTTAATTATGATGAAGATTGCACACCTAAAGAAGACTTATTCCACATTAATTGTCTAAGTGCACTCAGCAGTTCTTAAAACATCTAAAGTCTTGAAATACTTTCTTCATTCTAAGAAGAAAAGGTAGACATTTCTTTCCCCAGATGCAAAGTAGCTTATATGTTAGTGAGGCTTTTAAATGTCCTTGAAATCAGTGAAATAAATAATGGATAAATAAAACATGGGGTGCTAGTTACATGCCTGTATTACTCCCGCAAACCTGTCAGTATGAATGGTGTTTTTTCTTTTTTAACTCTGGATCTGGTGGATTTAGTTTGCCACCTGGTGGATAAGTGAACTAAATAGAACATGATGTTTACAGAACACTGAAAATTGTCTTAATAAAGTGCTAATTACGAGGATTTGGATTTACTTTAATAATGTAACAATGTTTCTCGGATACCATTTTTCTTTACAACATGAATATTAGCTACCAGGGGGAAATGAAACAGGCCATTAACGTAATAATTGTAATGTGAGCTTCCTCTGCTCACATGGACTCAAATGGAAATGGCAATGTTGTTCTCTCTGCTGTACTTTCTTCTGGGGCTAAGTTGGTGGTGCTTCCTGCCTCAGAGTGAACTCCTACTGGTTTCTATGGGAGTATGTCAGAGCCGAGTCATGCAAAAGGCTACATGGCCCTCATGAGCTGATGGATTAGGTATGTCCCTGAACGTGAAATAGCTCTCAGACTGTGAATATTCTCTTTTCAGTGTGTGCTATGATCGGGCCCCATATTATCCCACAGCTTTAACCTTTGTGTTGTCTGCCTTATGGCACGGTGTATACCCTGGATATTACTTCACCTTCATCACTGCCATTCCCATTACCATTGCCGCAAAAGCAGTAAGTTCATCCTGTGCTCTCTGTTCCGCTTCTTCTGTCGGGGAATGTTGCTTGCATGTTGCCTTTACATCCATGTTTTTGCTGGATATTTTAAAATGAGCATGGCTTGTGCACAAGGGCTGTAGGTTAGAACTTGTGGGGTTCCATGAGTCTAAGTGTAAATCCAGTTTATGTCTCCCAGTATATTATGAATACTTAGTTTTCCCTAAAACCCCAGTCTCCTTCCAGAAACATATCTTTCTTGGAGACTCTAGTCTTCTGCCATCTGGCCTGAGTCACCCCAATAGCTGTCTTAAGACCAAATGCTTGGGCTCTAGACAGAAATACTGTACTTTAAGGCTTTGAATAGTATTAAATGTTAGCTAGTCTCGAATCTAGCAATGAAAAATCATTACACATCATAGTGATAATAGAGGAATTTATTAACCATTAATTCAATTAATTATAATTAATTCACTAATCAAATATGAATTTAATTTCTCTAATGTAACTTAAATAGGAATCAAATTCCATTACAATAAAATAGAAAAAGGTATGTTAGATAACATTATTTTAGATGGAATAGCAAATGTACTATTACTAATGGCTGTCCACCTTGAAGGCATATATTGCAGTCAAATGGGAAAGATCTCTGCAATTATATTTTCTCTTTTATTACATATTTGTATCCATTTTGTCTTGGAAATCACTTTCCCTTTATTTTATCATTAGGAATATAATAACACAATTCCTTCCTGCCACTGTTACTATTTTTCTGTGTTTCATCAAAATTCAATCACCAGCATTCATTATTTGGTTTAAATTGAGAACTGTAGACTTTTTCTTTTTCCCAGTTTGTGATCGATTGTGTTCATTTTGTAATTGCCCATTTTTCATTTGATTATTATATTGCATTGACATTATTATATCAGCCAGATGTACTGTATACTTATATATAGTGTTGCCTGAGGGTGAGAACACTAGCTCCTGTCCGAATCAGTCTTGAGAGATTTGAGCTGTTCTGATATAATTTGCATATATATTTTTCTGTGACATTTGAGGTGAGTAGAGATCTCATGAAGCTGACCTGCTGTATCTGCCAGTCTGAGTCCTAACAGTAATGTTACACTGGCTAAAGCTCTTAATGCTTTTTTCTAAAGGCTTATTGGCTCTGTGCAGCTCTCATTTGATTGCCTTATAAACTTTGATGAACAGTGACTCATACAGAGCACATACAGTATAACATGGTACTGCTAAAAAATAAAATGGATGCTTTAAACCACTGTTGTGAAAGAAGTTCCTGATGCTGGTTTTGTTAATATTTCATTCTGTCTTTTTGCATATCTTTTAATTTCATATCATTCATCAATTTTCCATTCTGTCTGTGCATTCAGGTGCGTAAAAACTTTAGGCATTACTTCCTTTCCTCATGGACTATCAAGATTATGTATGACATACTCACTTGGGCAGTAACCCAGCTGGCAGTCTGTTACACTGTAATGCCATTTCTATTGCTGGCAGTGGAGCCTACACTTACATTCTACAAGTAAGATAATATTTTAAATCACAGTTTTAAAGTAACTACTGTCTTTTTATTGTTATATACAGTATGTAGGTTGGTAAAAACATGCATCCTTATGGGCTAATGTAGATTCTAATCTGTTCCATTTACCAACAGGTAAAACAGGTAATTTCTCAGAGATGTTATCGACAAAGTGTGTGCATGTCTGTGTCTGTGTCTCTTTATGCCCTGCAATGGGCCAGTGTCCTGTACAGGGTGTGTCCTGCCTCGCGCCTGTTGCTTGCTGGGATAGGCTCCGGCTCACCGACGACCCTGAAATGGTTAGAAAATGTATGGATGAGTGAATGTTATCAACCATAAGGCTTTCATTACTATTTAGAGATTTTCAGCAAATGTTTGTTTATGGTATTTTGTGTGCTATGCTAAATTTTAAGATACTGTAGTTGTACTTTTACACACTGCATAAGTAGGAAATTTAGCATCCAGTATACTGTTTATTGTAAGTTCACCTGGCATTCAGGCACCTGGCATTTAAAGAAAAAATAATTTTAAAAATTAGAAATGCATTTAAATGGATAGATTTGAAAATACTGCAAAAGGAAAAAGCCAACATCCATAACCCAGTTTTATTTTAATCTGAATCGGTTGAAGATTCTAAGTAACTTAAGAGTGTTTTCTTTTATGCTTTGTTTATACTTTTTTTTTTAATCTCTTTTCTCTTGTAGGTCAATGTACTTTCACTTTCATATCATACCTAGCCTTATAGTACTGATTTTGCCCATCAAACACAGAAGTCACATGGAGCAGAAGTCACATCCTTCTCACATTTCTAATAACAACATCAAATACAATTGATGCGTTCACCTAAAAATGGGCAGAAGGTACAGTATCCTTGCAAATGATGGCCAAGGTAATTGTACGCAAAGTGGACATTTAGAGGACTTATATTGGTGGTATGGTAGTGATGTGCCAGGGATCTATCCACACTTCTGTTCTGTCTATTCAGCTAACAGACTGAGCTGGAAGTTGAGGATCTGAAATGAACAGGAGAAGAGAAATCAAGCCTCTATTTGTGGGTCAAAACCATTAAATACTATGCAGTTAAAACAATGAATATTATTTTAAAATCAGTTCTATACCAAAATGTACAATAAGACCTATGTGTCTGGCAGGGAAAAGTGTTTACAAACTAAATGTGTATTAGGAGGTATGTCAGCAGCAGCAACCATAAAAGGTCTTTGTGTATGCATGGTGCATGGTGCTCTCCAGGGTTTGTTCTGTGTCAGTTGTGCATTTTAACTTGAGATCAGATGGATTGAAAACTCCAGCCACAGAATACATGAGTTATCTTTAACTAAGTGCTCTACAACAGAAGATACCATTTTTAGTTCATCTTAGTGGTGATTTCTTAAAAAGAGCCGTATCAATGCATTGAAATACACGAGTGTTCCCAATGTATTCCTTAAAATGGCTGGTGATTTTTGGAACTGTTATCAGCATTCCCAGTGTAAGCCAACAGTTGAACATTTGTATGAGTAAAAGGCATTTTACTACTTTAACTGATTCTGTTGCTTGTAAATGCTCGCAATGACACAAAATTTCCTAACTTTGCCTGCATAAATGTCTAAATAAAAAGTGAATTAAAGTTATAATAAACATCTATCTCTATGAATGTGTTCTAAAATCACTGATGTAATAACATTTTTACTGTATTGTGTTTACAGTATTTTAATATAATCTGAATTTTAATAACTTAGTGTGTGGTTTTCATTCCTCAGTTTCGAATGTCATGGAAAGTTCATAGTTGCAGCTGTTTTTTGTATTTGAAATATAGTTTGTTTTCAGATCTTAGAGTTAAGCTTATAAGGACAAAGTTGGATCCCCACTGTTCATCCAAAATCATACTGAATCTGTCAGCTGAACAGTCTGTCAGATGGGAAGCTAAAGGGTTGAATAAGATGGTCTCTTCTGTGGCATATTCAGTTACTGTGCTGTAAGTGTCAAATTGGAATGTTTTCAATATCAATTAATGTTTATTGGGATTTACATAAGGTTTGCATTGGGCATTTGGAAATCCACATCATTTACATTAATATTGATGTTGTATTATATGTTTTTTATATGAAATGTGTTTTCTGCTCTGGTTATTTTTCACAAACTTACTGGTATTTTTTCTTGAGTCTGTATTACCCATTTCAGACTATGTAATAGTACGCTATTGATACAGTATATGATATGCATCCATATACAGTATGTTGCAAAAAAGTCTATAAGCCCTCTTTCCTCTTTTATGTGCACAAAATTCATGCTGATATTATTAACACTTAAATATATGAATATGTCCTGTATGTACTGCATTTGATACTTTTGTCAGCAGTTATAACCTTCAATTACAACTGCTGTGTAAACTATGTGCATTTGAAAGTGTTAAGTAATTTATGAATGTCAAATTGCTGATTGTTCAAAAACATTTCAACAGAATGTGCTTTTCCGAATCACACACCTTTTTCATGAAACAATATCTCAATAAAGTTGAAAAATAAAAAATATGTGTTTATTGTGCATGCTCTTATTCATAACCTCAAATTCTGTAGTCAGTTCTGTATACTCTGCTGTTCATAACTTGTGAGTTTTATATAAGCTGTTTCAGCACCATTTGATGTTACTGGCAAGACAGTGATTTATTATGCACATGATTTATTATGTTATTTAATAATTAAACTGGCATTTTTAACTGGCAATAATTGAACAGTTTTAACTGGCATTTATTATGCAGTTGTTACCCCCACATTTTATGTTGTTGATTGAAACACATGATGCTAAACTGAGTGAAAAGGAATGAGGTATCACCCATGTTAAGTAAATATAGTATAAGGTGAGAACATACAGTACTGGACACAAATGAATTCAAAGGTCACACATGAAGCAGACCTGGAAAAAGAATCAATTTCAGATATTTAGTCAAATCATTTTGCACCACAACTCTACTGGACAAAGTGATTATACATGCATTTTAAACTATAGTCTATAGTCTATAGATATAAGTCCATAGATATAAATTTATAAACTTATATAAACCAAAATATTTTGATGTATTGAGGATTTTCAGAGATGAACAGTTGGAGGAGCTCTAGACTTCTGCTTTAAATATTTGTGTGATGTGTTTTTCTCTTCTTTCTTTCCGTACTTGATTTACTTTGTCTTCCTTATATTATGTTATGAATGCTTTTTTGTCTGTTTTTGCCTCTGGGAATATTATTACTTTAAGAATATACTGTTTGGAAGAAATACTATTGAAACATAAACCAGTCAAGACTTTGTTTGGGGATAGAGCTTCTCTGCTGGTCACTGCAGTGCAGGTTCATTTTTACTTGTGTCATCTCAGGTTCTTTGAAGTCATTGTGTAGTCTTATTAAAGATTTAACTTCAGTACTTTCTAGTGCATTGTTGGGGTCACTGCAAGGAAGCTGATGTGTCCATCAGTCATTCTGATCTGTAATGATACAGACCTTCTGTGTTAAGGAGGTGGAATTTCCAGACTGGCCAGAGTAGCACTGTTTGCATATACAGTAAATTACCACTTTGAAAAACGAGTGCCTGAATTTCCATATTATTTGAATCATCTGCTGCAATAGAACAGTTGAAAACACAACCAAACACGGGTTGAGTGAATGTTGAAAGTGATTATTTCCTGTTGCAGTATTATGACAAATATTATGAAGTTATTAAGCACCATAATTTACAAAATATTTTAGTATGCTGTGGTGATACATGTAATGTTATGTTCAATTTTAGAATAAAATTATTGTTCCCAACACATCTAATTAATAAAATACAATTAAAGTAATAAAATTGTGATACCTTTAATAATTGACTTGATTCTAAATCTTTTTTTAAAGATATTAGATCTGGTGGGAACATGAACAATCTGAATAAATTAATACTAAAACCTTTTTTTATGTCAGTAGTTGGTGTAATTGAATGGATTTTTTAGGTCCATCTATTAATGGTTTTAGCAGCAGACGTTTACTATAAATTACATTCCTGGAATAGGGAATGTGTTGATAATTTGTCCAAATAAATTAAAAGAGGAAAATTATGTTTGTCACAACTGCATTCACCAGGTGTTAATAAGGTACCATATACAGTATAGTATCTATTATATTATATATAGATACACTGTATATAGTATATGAAGTAGTTCAAGTAGAGAGCTGCGTCAGCATGCGTAGGCTGCAAAGGAACAGGTAACGGGCTTATTCCATGCTGAAAAGAAAGGAAACACAACGTTTCGGCCATGGAGCCTTCTTGTTGTGTTTCCTTTCTTTTCTTTTCAGCATGGAATAAACCCGTTACCTGTTCCTTTATAGTATATTAATGCATTCCCACATACAATATGTTTCTTATTACATGTATAAATACATACAGTATACTGTATATGTATTTATAAAATCCCAACTCTGCTTGTCCTCTTGGGTGTCTCTTTCATGCTAACTCTTCCTGGTGTGTCATGTGTTCATTCTTTTTTGGGAATTTGCATAAAATGTTCCATTTAGATGCAATCATTTTTGTCTGTTCAGGCATTTGACTCGACATTGCTTCAATGATTATTGTCTTTTATTAGCTCTGGATAATTTCTCTTTTTTATGTTTGTGTAAAATCTTAAATCATACAAAGAAGAATGTCACTCAGAGTTCACGTGCAGAAAGTGACAGATCTCTATGGAAAAGGAAGAAGACTGGTTCAGATGAAATTCAGAGGTGGGGTTTCAACAATTTTCAAAAAGCTGGTACATTTTCTATAAAAACATGTTTAGTGGCAATAATGGACAGTTAGGTTTTACATATTTTGTATGTGTTTGGATCTACTTATGCTATTACCTGTATAAAGCTTTTAAAATGTCACAAAAACTGAGTATTTTAAAAGCTTAAAATGTGAGATACATTTTGTTAGTGAGCAACTGATTGATCTTATATCTTCTTAAATACCTTTCAAATGTATAGATTTGCCCATTTAAAACCATGCCTTTTTAGTTAAAGAATTTCTAGAATACAGGTACATGTGAATATGTATAAAACATCATTCACTGATTTAAACTCTTTAAATAGTCACAATCCAAACTATTTTTTGCTGATGTGTTTTGTACTAAATACATTGCTCTTTGAATCAGAATTTCTTATGGAAATTTAATATAATTTACTTAGGGCTTGTTCTTTCACTTACAGCAACATTACTCCAACATTATCATTCACATATTGGTATGAGTTGTGTCTTCACAAAAATTACAACAAATGTTTTTTTATATGGAAAGGTAAATGAGTTAATAAGATGATCACTTTTCTGGTTTGTTCACTTACCACACTGTAGAGTAAATGTCAAATTTGAAGGTCTTCAGTATCAATAAATAATGCTTTTCCTATTTGGTGTCTTTAACCATAGACACTAAAGAATACTGCTGACCTCTTAAAGCTCTATGAGGATTGCAAGAGACAAAACATTTATATTCTCTCATTTTTGTTATTGTTAGCAATACTCTTTTAACAGTCATCATTAAGTTGTTAGAATAATGTGCAGTTACTTTTTAATTTTGAAGGTTTTTCTGCAAAGTCAGAGCCTCTGTATTGTGGAAGCGAAGCTAATTTTGATGAGGTAGGCCATTTTCATTTTGATGTTGTTTTTAATTGGGTGTAATAATAATCTTGAAATTTTTTGTTACCTTTTCGTTTTGTTTAAGATTTTACAGGTAGGCAAGCATTTATGTAATTCAATGAGTAGAATTTGCAACATACCAATGTATGGTACCAATACCAGAGTATAGCAACTGGATTATCTTTACCACAAATATTGCAGACCTATTATTGGTATGAATTGCAAATTCATATGATATTGATATGAAATGCAGATTTACAGCAGATTCCAATACTGTATATCAGACAAGCTTTGTGTCTCTATACAACCTTCTTCAATACCTGCTGACAAGCTGATTTCCAGAAATTTCCAAGGCTTTGTGAGAGAATCAAAAACATTAGAAGGTTACATTTACAGCATTAATTCATGCAGTACATTATGCACAACAGTTTGTACATGTTCAGAATAAGTGCTATAGTATGTAATATCAATATCAGTATCAATACTGTTTATACACTACATTAATTCATATTTAAATATTGAAAAAATCCAGTAAACTCCTGAATTTACTTGTTAAATCAACATTTACATGTACAGTAGATTTAAAAAGAGTATAAATATATTTGGAAGCAGTTATGTACTTATAATATTTTGATGCACTGTGTCTGGTCTGGAAATCTTTTAGATATTTTCCTGGCCAAACTGTGGCTCAATTGAGGAAGATGATTACCTGACTGTGGAACTTTTTGAGTACAGTAAACTGAAGCGAAGGTAAGACTTCGAGTCTTCCAAAGAGTAGGTGATCCAAAGAGTTAATGTACTTCGACCTTAAGACAAGCTACAAAGGGTGAATGTTTTGTATACTGAAGAATATTGAAAAAAAATCTGATTTAAAATATCAAGTGAAGCTGTTTCTGGGGTATGAGAATTGTTGGACAGTTTGAATCATGGCAGGATTTTATAAACCCATTGGTTTTGCTAAGGAAAAGTGGCAGCAGATCATTTGCTAGATTCTTTTGGTGTGATTGCCTTTTTCTTCACGAACAAATGTTTATTTTCTTGAACACAATTAAATACAATACAAAATGGAATTAGACATTCCCTATCCTTGTCAAATAGCCCCCTCCATGTTTCTATTTTAGGACCTCTGAAATGTGGTTAAATACCTTTCTAGAACCCCCATACAGCAAGGATTAGATTGTACCAACAGTATCACTATACCAGCTGCTGTCCCAGCACCACTATGGGACTCCTCCACCTCAACATGGCACCATGGATCCCTGCAGTTTTTTTATATAAGTTCCATATAAATACTATCAAAATAAGAAAGGGTTCTTCATGTAAGTAGAAGGATTTTAGAGGCTTCCAGTTCTGCACCAACAACTTTTCACAGACAGCCAGGTTTCTACCACTGCAAGAGGTCCATATTACAGTCCCTCTCCTAGGTTAGGTACTAAACCTAAACAAGAAAAATCCCTGTTTAAACCACTGGACCAGCAGGAAAAGTCCTGTTTTCAGAACATGATTTCTGCACTTTCTCAAAATGTGCAAAAATGTGCACACAACACCCTCCTGACAGGAAGTACAGAGAATTTGTGAAGCTTAAACATAAGATACTGTATCATCCACAAAGAGTTAACTTCACTTTGTGAAGGTCAATTCAGAGGATTATTGGGAGGTTATGATTTTTTCTTTCTGTAATTTTTGTAAAAAAAGCTCTTCCATTTTGTTTTTCTCTTACATCTCAGGTGCATTGGATCAGTCAATGTTGTTTTGCAACAGGCAATTGCAAATGGTAACACCTGTGTTAAAGAGATGCTGGTAGACAAGAACCACCTGGCTCTTGGGGTATGTATTCATCCAGAATGTTTCTAAATCATCCTGCAGTACCTTCAACGGAGAATGTAAATCTGGAGATTAAGTCATAATTCATTGAAACAGTTTGATCAAACCTGTGTGGGGAGGATGTGTGGTAATATATGATGCTTTCAATCACTTGCACTAACAGAATAATTCACCGCAGACTGATGTGATTTTTAATAAAGCTCACTGACAAAAGAAATCTCCTTAAAAGCTTTCGAAAATAAGGTTATGTTCTTAAACACTTAACTGACTCTAACCTTGGTCTTCCTGACCTGATTTAACATTAGACAGTATTAGATTAGAGGTGGTCAAAATATACCTAATAATGAATTATTTCAGATTAAAAATGAATAGTAAAAAATACAAGGAGAGTTTACATGGTAATGGTACGGTATGTTTCTTTTGCCGTATTAGGTTTAACTCTCAATAAGGTTGAAATGGCCCACTGCCAAAACATTTTTTCAAATCTTAACTATTTTTAATACAGGTTTTTTAAATAATGAAATTTTATTCTTTTTTTTTTATGAAGATACGTCAGGCTGGCCTAACTTAAGTGTTGTTCTGCTCTCTTCATGTTATATTGTTCATACAAGACAAAATGATGATGGTGAATTCCATATCATTGAGCTGATGTGAGCTTTCACAATTTTTCTTATATATGTTATCTGTTACTAGATTACTATGTACCTTGAAATAATCTACATAGCTGAGAAGCCTATGAAAGTACGATGGAAAGATGAAGACTTTGAGTACAGTGAAGATGAGAAGATGAAAATTGTGCAAGACAAAGGGTAAAAGTGTTTTACATAGTGGGAAATGCTATATATACTAATTGGTCATAATTCACAGTTTCACTAATTATGTCTTTCCTTATTTAGTAGAACATTATTGTGTTAAAAAATTCAGCAATTACATTTGTACTTTCTCTGCTGTAACAGGAGGTGGGGTATATATTCAAAATCTGAGCCTAAATAAAGATCAACAAGTACAATCTGAATACTAAATCTGGCCTTAGTGGCTTCATATTATTACACTACTGACATCAGCATGGTGCTTTTGCCCTATAGAAATCTTAACGTTTCGTCATCAAATGAGACACAAAACATTAACTAGTGCCACGGGCTCATCAGTATCAAAGATGATATTGAGTCCCAGTGTTAAAATTTTGTATGGGTTCCTGCATCAGATTCCAGCATCTATGATAATTGTAAATATATAAATAGGTCTTCCTTGATGCCCAGCTACATTTGCAGTCATTGTCCTTGCTGTGGTGAAGCATATCCTTCCTCAATCATTACACATTGTGGTCCATGTCTGGGTTGATCACAGGCGCTTCCTCTCATTTAGAAGCATGGCTGGAGTCAAGTAATGGTTAATGGATGAGTCTTGAATGCCCTAATAACTGCATGCATTTCTTTGCTTCAGATGAACAAAGAATGCAACAATAGAGTAATGAATGAGTATATGCAGTGTTAAAATTAAATATTACAAAACTGCTTTCTCCAAGTCCTATAGTGCAGACAGTTCTTGTTTGGATGGGATTCAATTATTGCTATTATGTACTTCATGTTTTCAACTCTTCACAGAATGAAGAGTTCATTCTGTTATGCTCTGCATAATATTCATACACTTACAGTATAGTGTATTATTATTATTTTGTAGAAATCACGGGAAAGAATTTGGAATATTTTCAGATAATAATGGTGAGTAATTTATTTTTCAGATCTTTCTTTAAGAATGCCGTGTTCTTTCAACATTCTTGCAAAATAATGGTTTCTAAATTAGCCATCTAGCAAACCCAAAAATGTTTTATCTTATGCACATTACATTTAGCAGATGTCTAATTCAAAAGATAACATATTGCATCACTCTGTCAATGTGCAATGGCTCTCCATGAATGTTTTTGCCTAGAGAAATTACATTTAGATTATACAGCTGTTTACTGCCAGAGTCCTCTGCACTCAAATCAGCTGGTAGCTGTTTTCTCTATGCTGCCTGTCTTATAATCATTGGGATGCTGAACATATCCTGTGCTTTTTTATTCTATGATTCATTTTAAATGACTCTGAAATGGCACTCACTCTTAGAAGGCACTTTATAATACAAACATTGATTCATTGAACTTATAAAGATACCACATGCTGCTAAGGTCAGTTCAGTTCCTTCTGCACTGATCGGATATCGTTTTGCTTCCTTTTAGAGGAGACTGAGAAGGATGTGCCTGAGGTGCAGTCAGAAGTGTTTAACGTCTACAGGAGACTGAGGGAACAGAAGAGAGAGTATGTTCGCATGAAAACAACTGGTCTCTCTTTTTAATTGCTGTAAGATTACATTATAGTACCTGCAATAGTAATACAGTATATCAGCTTTATTGCAGGTTTGGTACTATTTTAAAATTCCATGCATTTGTAAAGCAGTTTGTTTTTCTTAAACATAATTTTTTGTGTTGAAGAGTCAACTTTTTGTTATACTGTATATATCGATCTGAAATTCTATTTTCATTTCCCCAAAACATGCATCATTTTTAATTAAAAGTTTTAAAGGCTTGAATTGAATAAAATAAAATTGTTGATAATAACAGACATTTTACTTTAAGAATCACAAACAGTGATATAAAAAGAATAAATGGATTCTCATTTCTAATAAATAAACTAGATTTTGCTTTTGCTTTTTCCCCTTAGTCGTCTCAAGCTGATTGAAAGAAAAGATCAGACTCTTTTTAGGCCACAAAATTTCCAGGTCAGTTTCTTCAGAAAACCATATTTACAGTATGGATTATTTTCCATAGTGTGCCATTAATTTGCACCCATGTTTGGTTCTGACCTCTTTTTGTTTCTTATTTGCATTTAAGAGATGCTGTAGCACTTCTGATATCATCTGGCAACATTAGTCTGATTTTAACAGTAAGAGTAGCAAGGGTACAAAAGTCTTGCTGGTTTGTACTTATAAAGTGTTATTATGATTGCAAAAGGTGAACTTTGGTAGTCTTTTTAGCCATGATATAGATGTGTGCTTATATTTTAATATTTAAATTAATTATGAACTCTTTTGAATTAGCTTATGTCTCATTGATATGACATAAAGGTCATAACTGTGGTCTAATGTCAGTGATGCAATGAAAATGAAATAGCCAAATATAAACTATTAAAGTTATTAAAATGTATAGATTAAAGCATAAAATATATAAAAAAGAATAAACCAGGATGAAGAATTCCCAAAGGCTGCGTCCTTGATCCTTAAATACTGAAATAATACAAAGCAGTCTTGGAACCCTCATCTTAATCTCCTTTAAATGTCTTTATCCCTTTAAAGATAAACTAGCCTGGAGTACCTTTTCCAGTTTCAGTTATTTGAACAGTTACTTCACCAAACATTTTAGAATCAATGTCTCTCTGAGGCAGGCACTTCTTTGACTGATCAAGAAAAACACATTTCTTTAATTTTGTAGCCCTTCAGTTAATCAGACTCCAATCTACCAGTCAGCAATTTTACTTGTACACTCACAGGTTGTTACTGCAGCTAATATTTTTCCCTCCTGTGCCCTGTGAAGTTTAATATAACAGTGCATGAAGCCAGGCAGCTGAGTGGAATAAACATCGATCCTGTTGTATACATTGACATTGATGGGAAGAAAAGGCACACAAGCACTCAAAAGTCCACCAATTGCCCAGAATACAATGCGGTACTGTGTTATCTCTCCTGATATTTGTTTGGTTTTCATAGGCTTTGTGATGTTTTGTTAAAGCAGTAATGTGCAAAACGGAGTCTCCCATATGCTGTCATTCACTATTGATCCATTGTAAATGTTGTAATCAAAGGCATTCCCAGAATTCTTGTCAGAATTATTTGTCTAAAATGACATATTATTACTGATCAGCTTAAAAACAAAATAAAAGTAACCAAAAACAAAAATAATTTATAACAGGAGTCAGGCAGTAAAGATACTATCAATGTGATTTGAGAAGAATTAATAAACAGTAATGTGGAAATTGAGTATGTGCATTGAATTAACAATATAAAGGGATTTGAAGGTAGATTATGATCAATACATTTATTCCTTCTATGATTCCAGACACCATAGTGGACATATGAGTTCATAAAAAAGAGGCTGGTGATGGGATTGAAAGCAGCCTGATCTATGAATGTGCTGTAATTTCACATGCTAGGAGCATAAACAGAAACTTAATAGTGTTAATGTTAGCTAAGAAAGACTTGAGCTTTAAACTATATCAGTTTATTAATAATCACTCCTTGTTTAGGTACATGTCAGCCAACATCAAAGTGTCTTAATTTGCCTTTGCTTTTATGATGCTTTTTAATTATTTTTGGTCTGGGCTAGTGTTGTACGTTTTAGTATTGTAATGCCAACAAAATGTTTTACAGGACTTTTATTTCGAGTTTTTTGAACCTCCAGATCTACTTATGGATAAGATCATTCTGATATCGGTAAGTTCCCATAGTTCTCACCACTCAAATTGAAACTGAGGGATTTTGTCCTTGTTTTAATGAAACATTATGATAAATTTTTTTCAGGTTTTTAGCGCTGACAAAATACCTTTCAAGAAAACTCTGATAGGGATGTTCAAAATTGATGTGTCATCAGTTTACGAGCAGCAAGGCAAGTAACATGGTAACAGTGTTTCTGTCATCTGTTTCTGCTTCTCACCACCCCAGGGTCTCAGACACAGGGAGGAAGGATAAAAGAGTGAAACTGTAAAATAGGAGCCCAGATGTTTTAGATGGTAGAAAATGTTCGTCTGACAGTTTTTCTACTTATGTTATAAACGTAACTGACATTCAACCATGATCAACAGTTAGAGTGGCATATTACTCAATGCCAGAAGCATAAGGAGAAAATTGCAAGAGCTCGAGGCTACTGCATTAACAGGTAGCTTTGACATTGATTATAGTAATAACTGAAACATGGCTAGGGGACGAAGAGGGGGATAATGTATTTCTTATTTTTTCATTCTTAATGTTCAGACCCACCAAAATTGTCTTTTTAGTCTTTAAATCTTGAAGTGAATAATTTTTCCTATACACTTCCACCAGACTGGGAGAAACAAATATAGTAAATGTATTTATTTTCATTTTCTTTTTACTTTTTAATTTTTTAGTGATTGCACTCCAAGGCAATACTTTCCTCGAGGTGAACTATAAAAAGAAGCCTTCAGCTTCCCTTGTGTAAAGCACAACACAGACAAAATTGTCTTTATGTTAAAGGGTTTTAAAATCGGATAATTTTAAAAGTTTATGCTTCTGTGCAGATCACATGTTCCGGAACAAGTGGGCCATCCTGACAAATCCAGAAGACATCACAGCCGCCATAAAGGGCTATGTCAGATGTGACATCATCATTACACAGAAAGGGGATTTGGTGCACACGGGCAGTACAACAGCTTACTCCAGTTACATTGAAAGGCAAGTTAGAATTGTTCTGTTTGCAATGTTTCTTTTTTAATGAGTACAGAAAGATA